AGGGACAGGTATGCATGCTGGCCACTGGGAGCACTCCACAGGTCAGTGGTGAAGTGCATTGCCTGTCCGCTGGCCCTTCCAAGCTCTCTTCAGCACGCCGAAGCAAGCCCTATACAAAGATTGAACCACACTTTGGCTAAACGTGGTGTGGGATGATATTGGGGAGCCACAGCATGAAGGAGAGGACTAAAGGGCTCCCCTTCCACCATATTGAAAAAGGGCCCCGCCAGCCACAATCAGTTGAGCAATGAGGTGATTGCTGCCGGGACCACCCCCTGGCCTGAAAGACGCCTAATTGCTCCAGAGTGGGTTGGGTGGAAGGGATGGGAACAGCATCCCTCTTCTTCTTTGATTGCCTGGTGGCGGTGGGGGTGGTGATGGTGCTTGTGGATCCCTTTGTGGTGCTTAGGGGAGAAGCCACACGCTTCCTTCCTTAAAAGCACTGCCTGGCGGTGCATACGCATGTGTTAGCTCATCCCACTATTGGTCAAATGACCTATCACCTTTCCTCAGTTGATCTGCCTGCCGCAGTGTTAACATTTGACAAGCTGACTTGGCCAGTTTTTAAAAAATGCTGCCAAATGTTTGAACAGCACTATGTGGTCACTATGTCGCCCAGAAGAAGGGACCCTGCGTGGCCAGGAAACGTTGGCTGTATGACGCATGTGACAATTTAATAAATAATGCTTTACTTCTTGCACATATTATCGAGTGCTGGTGGTTTCTATTATGGTGTGATGAGAGATAGACAGCCAGGTGAGGGCATGACATTGCAGTGAGAGACAGCCTGGTGGGTGCATGAGAGAGACAGCCAGGTGAGAACCTGACAGTGCAGTGAGAGAGACAGTCAGGTGAAAGCATGGCAGTGCAGTGAGAGAGGCCGCCAGGTAAGAGCATGACAATGCGGTGAGAGAGACCTCCAGGTGACAGGTGAAATCCTGACAGTGCGGTGAGAGAGACCGCCAGGTGAGAGCGTGACAGTGCGGTGAGAGAGACAGCCAGGTGAGAGTGTGACAGTGCGGTGAGAGAGACCGCCAGGTGAGAGCGTGACAGTGCGGTGAGAGAGACAGCCAGGTGAGAGTGTGACAGTGCGGTGAGAGAGACCGCCAGGTGAGAGCGTGACAGTGCGGTGAGAGAGACAGCCAGGTGAGAGTGTGACAGTGCGGTGAGAGAGACCGCCAGGTGAGAGCGTGACAGTGCGGTGAGAGAGACAGCCAGGTGAGAGTGTGACAGTGCGGTGAGAGAGACCGCCAGGTGAGAGCGTGACAGTGCGGTGAGAGAGACAGCCAGGTGAGAGTGTGACAGTGCGGTGAGAGAGACCGCCAGGTGAGAGCGTGACAGTGCGGTGAGAGAGACAGCCAGGTGAGAGTGTGACAGTGCGGTGAGAGAGACCGCCAGGTGAGAGCGTGACAGTGCGGTGAGAGAGACAGCCAGGTGAGAGTGTGACAGTGCGGTGAGAGAGACCGCCAGGTGAGAGCGTGACAGTGCGGTGAGAGAGACCTCCAGGTGAGAGCGTAAAAGTGCGGTGAGAGAGACCTCCAGGTGAGAGCATGAAAGTGAGGTGAGAGAGACAGCCAAGTGAAAGCGTGACAGTGCGGTGAGAGAGACAGTCCAGCGAGAGTGTGGCAAGACAGAGAGAGAGCCCAGTGAGACAGACAGATCAGACCAGAGAGAGACAGACAAAAGAAAGTGATAGAAAGTTTAGAGCATATGGAAGAAATCGTTCCTCACACACAGAGCCATGTGGAGATGTGTTGTGATGATCTCAGGGAGTTCTCCTCCTCTCTGCTCTGTCACAGCTGCTGCTGATCATCCTCTCAGATCTGATTCTGAGTGTGTGCTCCTTCATGAGAAGGGGACGGGGTCAGCTTAGGGTTGCCACCTGTCCAGGATTCACCCGAACAGTCCGGGTTTTGAATGCTGTGTCCGGGTTTCATGGCAGCAGAAACCTGGACACAAGATGTCAGGCAGACAGGGAAGACCAAAATTAAGATAGGGGCTACTGGGGCCCCCACTGAAAATAGTCTTAATTGTGATATTTGCATATGAATGGGTGGGGCTATTTACATTTGAATAAGCCGGGACTCATTCTCCCCCAAAAAATGTCTGCGAGTCACTAGTGTGTTCGGGTTTCACTTGAAGAAAAGGTGGCAACCCTAGGTCAGCTCAGTCAGATCAGCAGAGAGGAATCAGCTGATTACATTTTACAGATACAAACTGACCCTTAGGGCCAGTTCACACCATAAAGAGAGCGTTCCAGAGCGGTCAGCTTCTGGAACACACTTTATCGCATCCCGGCCAGCTTCCTGCGTTCAGGGGTGGGAGGGGGTGGGGCGTGGCGGTGCATTAAAGTCAATGGCATCGAAACTACCCCGCACCCCCCGCCCACACCAGAATGGGTGGCACATCATTGCCTGCGTTCCAGTCCAGTGCGGTTTGAAAAAATGCTGCAAGCACCATTTCTTCAGATCACACTGGACTGGAACTCAGGCAATGTTTTGCCACGGGTTAAAAAAAATATGGTGCTATTGACTTCTATGCACTGCACGCCCCCTCCTGCTCCTGAACACAGGAAGCTGGCCGGGATGCGATACAGTACGTTCCAGTAGCTGACCGCTCTGGCTTTATGGTGTGAACAAGCTCTTAGAGAGTGGTATTGAAGTTCCTCTGGAGGCAATTTTGAATTTCAAGGACTCTGGCCTCTGAAAAAAATCAATTAAAAAAAGTATAAAAACAGCATTGTGACTCTGACAATGCACATACATACTTCGTCCCCCACCTCTACATTACCACAATAAACACAAATCACTTACAAAGGTGGAAATGTGCTTTAAGGGTGACATGGACAGAACACCAAAATGACATGCTTCAGAGATGCCTTTAATTCTTTCCCTGCCACCAACGTAAGGCTTACTGTGGAACACAACTGTTTCCAGCATGTAGGCGGGGTTCCCTCTCGAGGTGTTGCGTGTGAGTTCCCTTTGGGTTGGCTCTGTGTAACCCCATGTATGCAACACGAAACCAGGCACCCCACGGTCAGGGGCCTCGGCTCTGGTCTCGTGCAAACAACTCCCACACGTGTAGTACTGCGCACACAGGGCCTCATGGCCTCATGGCTTCCACCGCTTCTGCGGTATTCGGCGCTTCCTCCCCCTTAGGGAGAAAGGCCACCATGAAAGGCACCCTATGTCGAGCATAGCCCCTTTGCACACTTACCCTCCTCAGGATGGTTACAGCCACGATACAGTCCAACATCACACTCCTGTAGAACCCCACCTTCTCCGAGGTTGGAGGGAGAAGAACCAGTCCACACAGATAGTCTTTTCTTGGTTTTACTTAAAAAGGATGAACATGACAATAAGCATACGTTTCAGCCACCCCCGAGTGGGATTAAGGCACATCTCTTGATAGTTGCATAGTGATACAGATAAGAGAGAGAGAAGAACAGCCCAGGTACACCCCAGAGTCCACGACTTACTTCGGCCAGAGGCCCACTGGCAAATATTGTATATTCCTGTACTCTCTCCCCTCCTCCCCTCTTGGGCGCCCCCTATAAATCATCTCTCCAGGACACAGAGTCTCCCCAGGCCAGAGCTACATCTATCTCCAGGGCCCCATGGGGGCATCTAGTGGCCATTGGCCGTACTGCACCTATCCTACATTCCCCCATAGTTAAATATAGTACACTCCTGTACTAGCTACATGGACTACTGACAAAGACCATACCTTCTACCAAGGTATCTCAACATGGCCACAACTCTATGCCTACAAGGGCCTAACCCCTGGCTCCTAACTGACTCTAAAGCAATTCCTCTCCCCTCCCAGGGTGGGTCAACTCAATATTAAACCCTACGGACTAAGACTGGGATGCCATTACAGTTCATGTGCGTGTAAAGGCAGGCGTCCCAATACTTTTGGCAATATATAATGTATATACTTAGAAAAAATTTGGCTTTATTGCTATCTGCACAGATTGCTGGGATGCCACTTACAGATATCATGTTTCCATGACCACTATCAGAGGAAGTGATAGGAAATTCTAAACTGCACTGAAATCAACCTTGACGTAGGACCCTTCCCCATTCTATTCAAAATAAACTTAAGGATGGAGTCTCTCTTTAAGGGTTAGAGTTTGCTCAACATAGGGCTTTACATTAAGGACAGGGCAGAGGTTAAAGTGTATATAAACTCAAAACTGATTTTTCAGTATGTTTGATTTAGTGTATACAGTTTTATCAAGTAATTATTTTGTGAATCTGGAGAATCCTACCTGGAGATCCTGCCAACAACAGCACTTCCTGTTGAAGGCTGACAACGCTATGCTGCTGCACAGAAAGCTGAGAACAGGCATCAACTTAGCATTGTCAGTTAGCAACAGAAATTGCTGCTACAGGTAAGATACCCAGGTAAGCAACTTTGCAACAGTTTCACACAAAGTATTTGCTTACAGAAACTGTGAGGCATGATATCCAATATACTGAGCATTACGTTTTGGGTTTACATGCACTTTAGGAACAGTTCGGGCATGGTTTCCTGTTTGATTTCAGCTTCATAAAATCCTGAGCAGTTGTATTGTTAGATTGTAGGTGATAATCCTAATGCTTCTGTCCAAATTTGCTGGGATCTTTATAGTACCATGCCAAAAGCTTTACTTTTGTTTTATGTTATTGGCCAACTCAACCTAAATAGTTCCAGATGGGCATTGGTAAGTTAACTCGACTACCAACTCTTGGAGTCTCTTGTGGTGAGTTTTCCCAAAAATGACCTTATTTTGCTCCTCCCACAAGACCCCAACCATTGAATGGCTCTCTAATGTCTGCATTCCACAGTTACTTCTTTCTTTATTCTACATGAAATAAAACCTATGTGTGGGAGATTGGCACCATCACATAGCTTTGTAATGGCAACTGTAGCTGAGCATACCTGGAAAACCTGCAGGGTATTTAAAGTCAGAGAAGTCAGTGAATGTAAATCAACTTTGTTGCCTTTGTGCTGTTTAGTAAAAATCACATCATAAATAAGGTTTCCATTGTGCCCGACTGCACAAGTCCCACGGCTCCCTATAAGTCTGAACCCGATTTGGTTCTCTTGTTATGGACGTGGCCTTTTGGTTATCAGTTTCCTTTAAATAAGTGTCCAAAGCCCTTTGATAGTCCTCGGTGCCTGCTTACAGCCAACCGTAGCTTGTATAACACGGCAAATGCAGTCGTCTTTCATCACAGGGATGTATGTGGATCCAGAAAGCAGATGCCTCAGATGTCAAGACCTGAAGGACAATATTGGGTGTGGTTTAATTTGGAATCTCCAAGTCACAGTCCCAACCTGAACTTCATGGACAAACTCATCAACCTCACAATGTCCTACAGAAGTGACTCTGATATCTTCACTCCTTATGGATGGTTAGAGAAGATTGAAGTCGCTGAAAACTATACAATCTCAAATAAGTCTCAGCTGGTGGCTTGGATTGTCAGTAACTGGAATCCTAGTTCCAGACGGGTCAAGCTCTATAACGATTTGAAAAATCATATGCCTATAGATGTTTATGGTAGACAACATCTACCTTTAACCAGGCAGGACAAACTTAGCGTTGTCTCTAAATACAAGTTCTATTTATCCTTTGAGAACTCAATACATACAGACTATATAACAGAAAAACTCTGGCGTACTGCTTTTCTGTCTGGATCTGTCCCGGTGGTTCTTGGCCCACCCAGAGAAAACTATGAGAGATTTATTCCATCTGATTCATTCATTCATGTGGATGACTTCCCAAGTGCAAAAGAGCTGGCTTCCTACCTGCTTGAACTGGACAGAAATGATCAAAAATACCAGGAATACTTCAAATGGAGATCAAAACTGAGGCCAGTGGGAGAAACCTCTTGGATTGTTCATTACTGCCATGCATGTGTACAACTGCAAAATGCCCCTCCATATAGAACCATATCAAGTCTTGGCAAATGGTTCACATAACAAATAGATATCATCATTGTATTAATGTTTATAAGATACAAGCAGCCTTGCATATGAGTGACTAAACAGAAAATAACAGTTGCCCATGTACACCAATAATGAGCCTCCCTTTTAAAGGAGAACTATGGGGTCAGTGTTTTTCCCCATAGTTCTCCTTAGGGTAACGGGAGGCCACAAACTAGCATCCTCCCGTTACCCTAAGCTCAGTATACAGCGAGCTGCAGCTCGCGGTATACTGAGACGCCGCAGCCGGAGCGGATCCCGACATCGATGTCGAGATCCGCCCAGCTGCGTGAGTGACAGCTGGCTCTGCCTATCTAGAGGCAGAGCCAGCTGTACCCGCCCCCTCCCCCGTCCATTCTGCCAGTCAGCGCTGGCAGATCGGAGCGGGAAGAGGGGAATCCAGCCCCTCCCCCTGTCACAGCAGAGAGCCGTGACAGGATCGAGAGGTGAGCGAACCCGTTATGTGTTCACTCACCTCCCGATCTACTGAGCCGACCTGTGACAGTCTCATTGTCACAGGTCGGGTAGAACTATGAGGTGAGTGGAAATCACTCATCTCATAGTTCTTTAAATTTTGAAAGCCATTTTGAAAGCCAAGCCAGAAAGTCAAAGGTTGAATCAAATTTGCATACTATTGGCAACACTGTGGTTAGATATTATCAGTAATGCTTTAAATCTGAACAAATGACTTAATAGATATATAGGAGCAGATTTACCAGCCTTCTATTTCTATTAAATAGCAGGCATCTTCAGAGGTATATGTTATATGATGAAGAGACTAGGAAGCTCCCAAACCCAGGTCATTCTGTTCTGCAAATCTCAAATTCTAGATGATGTAAAGGCATGGTACTTCCCTTTACCACTTTTTGTGTGCCTCTATTGGTCCATATCTATGATGGGCCTCCTCACTGACCAATATTGAGGCATAGAAAAGGGGGAGAGGAGGGCCAATCACTAACTAGTTTTAGAAGTGTACATTTGTATATACCTATCAGCAGGTTTACTGAGCCCTGCGTGCTCTAAAACAGAAGCTACCTATGTGTACCTGGAGGTGCCCACTGTTTAATGAATGTGGCAGATTGTAATACACAAAATTAGCTCATATTTATTGTAAATCTAGTCACCGGTAGTTACTACACCTAGTTTCCTGTACATAGAGAATTCTGTTGTCTGTCATTGATTAACTCACCTTCAGAGAAGGCTAGTCTTTAAAAATGTAATGTTCATCAACTCTTTACAAAGACTAATAGAGCATAATACCATTTCAAGAGACTCCGCCCGCCCCATTCCTAAACATTGTGCAGCCTTCGACTCCCCTCCCCCCTGCACTTACCTCTCTCCTTTGGTTCCGTCCTCCGCCACCGAGTCCCAAGTCTCTGACTGCAGTGATCAGAGCGACAGGGTTAAAAGTAACCCTGCTGCTCCGTGCAGACTGTAGACAGTGAGAGGGGAGAGCTGTGCTCTTCCTCTCTCACCTGTCACAGGAGTTCCAGCACAGTACTGTGCTAGAACTCCTGTATTGGAGGTGACTGGGTCAATAAAGAGAATTGCTATTACACAGGTAATTTCTCCTGTGTGATAGCAATAAAGTTAGGTGGGAAAAAAAATTATATTGATAACAAATTTAAATAAATAAAAAAAAATAATATGAAATAATTAAATAAAAAAATAAAAAGGTAATTAAAAAGTAAAAAAGAAACAAATTATTAAAAAATAAGGGGGGGGGGCGCAACACAGGACCTGGCCTTGGGGCGACAGGGAGAGTAAATCCGGCCCTGGGTCCACCCCTGCAGGTTAAAAATGCATTCTCCTTCCCCAAATATAATCCAGACCAGTCTTCTAATAAAGAGGGTGTCAAGCCAGAGATCATCTTCAATGAGACTCCTAATCTGGTGTGACATCGGTTATAAGTGATCTAATGCAACAAAATTATACAATATGTAAAATATGTAGAGGACAAAAGCCCAAGCAGTTGTAATATAAGCTAGTGCACCACTCACATTGAGCTTGCTCACACAGGGCTTGGGAACAAAGGGACTTTGAGCCAAGTGGTGTTAAAAAATTAGAGTTTGAACTGTAGAGCTGCCCATACATCTTATAACCATAGCACGACTTTCGTTGTGCGATGGTTGTAAGGTAATTAAAATCTTGTAGATCTGCCCATCTTGGACAGGCAGATCGTACTTGCAAGGAGGGCTTCCGATGATTCCAGTGCTGAGGGGGCGGTGTGCGCTTGCGCACACCGGCCCGTTCGGCATTTGTCTTCAGAGCACGCCACTAACCCGATTTTCGGCAGGTTTTAAGCGTGCTCGGAAGACAAAAGAAATGCGACCGTACAGTAGAAACGGTCGCACGCCTTCCATACACCTGCCGATTATCGTACGATCGCGGGATCACCTGCGATTATCGCACGATAATCGGCAGGTGTATGGGCACCTTAAGTACTATGTTTAACTTCCTAGAACTTATATAAACATTGTAACTGGGATTATGTTTGAATTGTAAGTACTATCTTTAATTTCCTAGAACTTGTTAATTGTTAATTGTTTTTAGGGTTAAAGTGAATCTAAACAAAGCAAGGCAACATATTTGTATAACTTAAACTAGCAAGAGACTGTAGAAGAGACAGCAGGAACAACAGAAACAGACAAGCAGGAGATATAGACGGCCCGGGTCCAGAAACGGCAAGGCAGACGCCCTCTCCAGAATCGGTGACCCCGCCATGGGGAGCTCTATGACCTCGTCTGTCGTTCCACCGGAGAGGATACTGGCCTCCACTGTAGACCTGAAGAGCCGGCTCAAACTAGCTATACAGGGGACGACCGATCGCCCCACTGATCTCGTACAAGACGAGGAAGGATTCCTCTACCGGGACCACAAACTATATGTGCCATCAGAGATGCATGTTCCTATACTCAAACTCCTCCATGACTCCCCTGCAGCAGGCCACCTCGGAATTGACAGGACGCTAGAATTAGTGCGAAGATACTTTTGGTGGCCAAAGATGAGAGAGACCGTGACAGCCTACGTGACCACCTGTACAATCTGTGCATCCTGTAAACCTGAAAGACGCCCACCTTACATCAGAAAGTAAGCCAATTCCACAGCTGTGGTCCAAGGACCTTATTGACCCCTGGGGGTGTATAACAGTAATACAGGGATAACTTGTAAATAGTCATATGCATAGTTACCAACCATCTCCTATAGAACCCTGGTGAGATGAAATTTTATTTTAAACTTTGACATACTTGCATGAATTTTCAGAATTCATAACTAGATGTAGCATTGTGTTACTTTTACCCCTAACGATATAGGGGTTGATTTGCTAAAGTTAAACAGGATGTTCACAGTGCAGGGGAATTTGCACTTGGTCCACTTAGTTTCGTGAATGAGGTGAAGTTTAGCTGACTTCCGTCAAGAACTTAGAGACCACAGACAACACAGCAGTGTAAAGTTAGCCAGCAGCAGGACAACAGGACTAGACCCAAACTTACTACAAACAAAGAGCATAGGCTGTGGTTTTACTACACAAATTAAAGCAGAGGATACAGCAGTGAAAATTGTCCAGCAGCAGGACTTTTTTAATTAGGGATACTAGGTATAACTGGTGTATGCCTAACTTTTATTTTCTCTGAGGATAGGGTTGTGCAGTGAATGTGAGTGATACAATGTGAGGTGGTTTTTCAGGTACACACTGTTTTTGCACTTAACTGTATTTTGCACAGTGCAAACAAAAGGCAGCTCTATGGTCAGTTTCAAGTGAATGTTTGAGCACCCCAAACCTAACAAAAGGCCCTATTAAAATAAATATATAAAATAAATACAAATAAATTAAATCCCCAAAATAACACCCCTGAAACAAATACCCACTTTTTTAACAGAAGACTTGTAGCAAAAATCACTTTTAAAATAAAAATTTAATAAATTAAAAAATATTTTTTTTTTAAATAACGTTCCTAGCAACATAACATACAAACATACAATACAATATACTCCCCCAAAAATATGAAAACTCCAAAATTTCAAGCCCTAAAACAAAAGCACAAAACTTTTTTTTTTTTTAAATGGAAGCCTTGCAGCAAAACAAAAATCACTATGAACAGGGCACTAGAAAAGAAAAGAAAAAAAAGCATTGAATAATAAGAACAAAAAAGGAAGGTAGCAAAGAGGTTGCCCAATCAGAATTAATGTACAGTTTCCTAACTGACCCTAATATCTCCCTATGCAGTTTGTCAGCTTTCCCTGCAAAAGCGTCCAATTCACTGACACTGTGGCTGCTCTGTGCACCCCTTTTTTTTAGTAAGGGGCTAGGTTAACCAAAAGCTCCTTTTTGGCCCACCTTAATTTGCTGTCCATAGTTCAAAGGCCATGTAATCAGGGCCGTCTTTAACTCGGGGCAAAAAGGGCAGTTGCCCGGGGCCCAATCATTGTTGTGGGGCCCAAAGCAGCTGCCCCTTGAGCCCGCAGAAACTTGCCAATCGCATAGTAAAATACGTTATGGCATAGGGCACTGCCATAACGTATTTTTCTATGCGATCGGTACCATCGCATAGCACAGTCTGTACTACATTCCCGTGTGGCTCCCCCCCTTTCCGCACAGCGTGACATGACAGGTCTCACGCAAGCTCACAGGTGGACGTCCCGTGGCGATATCGCCGCTCCTTCCGGCTGCCTCACACACGTCTATGAGTGTCAGACGTGACATCCGGAAAGCTCTGATTGAGGCAGAGACTGGCACAAGACTGAGGCAGAGACTGGCACAAGACTGAGGCAGGTGAGAGCTGGGCACTTTGTGGCATTGGCAGGCCAGGCAGTAATAATTAAATCATTACCCTGTTTGGGCAAGGCCAATCATTTATAAATAGTATATTTTTAAAAAAATCATATAATAGGACTGTGGAGGATATGGTTGCATTTTCTGATGCCTGCAGCTGCTGGGCTACCAGCTACACCACCAAGGCAAAGGAAGAGCAAATAATTGTACATTAATTAATGTA